TATTTTGTATTTGTTGATAATACGATGTTCGTGCGGATTGTTTCGTTTGTAAGTGCGTTGAGACGGGTGTAGAAGTCGTTGAGAGAGACTAAGAAGACAGTAAGCTTTGATCCCGGTGGGGGGGGACAGGGACCGCGTAGGGGGAGGGGCTGGTAGGGCTACAGCCCTACCACTTTTATTGCTGGGATTTATTTTCTAGGGCGCCAGCTGACATGGATAAAATATGGATTTCACTACTTGAAACTAACCTTAACGTTTGTTTGTATTGGCTAGATTTTTTTTGCCCTACCACTTTCAAATGGTCTCCGTGGTCCCTGTGGGGGGCGGGGATACTTCTCTATCCCGCGGCACATACCTATATAGTCCATATAAGGGAGTATCTTCCCCCCCAGGGGGCTTTGAATTGAGACCAAAGTGGTGACAAGAAACACGATGTTCGTGTAAATGTTTTTCGATAGTAATCGCGTTGAGATGGGTATAGAAGTCATTGAGAAGGACTAAGAAGACGGTTGGCAAGTTGATACCAAGTTGGTGTCAATTGAAAAGTCGCGTGACGTGTTAATCAATTCCAGAAAGACTAATATAAATGAGTATGATGTTCGTATGACTCTTCGATAGTAGTGGCTTGCGATGGGTTGAGATGGACTAAAGATGGCTAGCTTTAAAATGAGACCAAGGTAGTTATAACTAAGAAGTCACGTTACGAGTTATTCACTAACCGAAAGACCAAGTGAGTATTTTAGTAGAAGCACAATCTGAGCACGATGTTCGAGTGAATCTTTCTGATAGTAACTGCGTTACTGCGCCTTTCAGTAGCATGCGGACTCTAAAATTCAAAGCTCAACCGACAAATGCGTTTTTCGCTATCGTCAATCAAATGTTCGGCNGAGGCCAAAGTGGTGACAAAAAACACGATGTTCGTGTAAATGTTTTTCGGTAGTAATCGCGTTGAGATGGGTATAGAAGCCATTGAGAAGGACTAAGAAGACGGTTAGCAAGTTGATACCAAGTTGGTGTCAATTGAAAAGTCACGTGACGTGTTAATCAATTCCGGAAAGACTAATATAAATGAGTATGATGTTCGTGTGACTCTTCGATAGTAGTGGCTTGCGATGGGTTGAGATGGACTAAAGATGGCTAGCTCTAAAATGAGACCAAGGTAGTTATAACTAAAAAGTCACGTTACGAGTTATTCACTAACCGAAAAACCAACATAAGTGAGTATTTTAGTAGAAGCACAATCTGAGCACGATGTTCGAGTGAATCTTTTTGATAGTAATTGCGTTATTGCGCCTTTCAGTAACATGCGGACTCTAAAATTCAAAGCTCAACCGACAAATGCGTTTTTCGCTATCGTCAATCAAATGTTCGGCAGCTCCTCCCAGCTTCCGACCACTGCTGAGCGCGCGGTGATCAAATCGCTGAGCACAGTTCAGACAACGAAACAGTGCTCTTCAGTAGTCGGAGCCGCCGAACATTTGATTGGCGGTAGCGAAAAACGCATTTGTCGTTGACATCTTTCCTCTTTCCAATCGCGCCAGTGGATGTAATATGATACTACCTTGACGTCATTCAGTTTACTTTGGGTGCTTTCCATCATGCCAAAGATTCCGGAAATTCAAATGGAAAGGCCCGTTTCGGTTTCTTCCGAACGGAATATTCGGGATCACCTCTGAACAGGAGTACCCAACGACACTTTAACTGGAAATTTAAGATGTGACTTCCCAA